GCTTGAGGCGAGGTGGCTGTGCCATTTCCCATCATTGTCTCCACTGTGGTGTGGTTGCTGGGTAGCTGGTATTAAGTTTAGGGTGAGTTTTCACCCACAACAGCAACTCCTGAGCTGCTGGCCTCCTCCAGCGTCTTGAGTCTCATACTCATCAGTTTCTGTGCTGTGGCAGAGAATGGCCCTGAGGCCCAAACCAGACCAGGCTGGACACAGGAGTCTCTTTCCATGCCAGCTTGGATATTTTCAGGAGCAAAAAGATGTATGGGGGGTGGGGGCTGGAAGGAGTAAAAGGGGGAAAACAAGGGGACATATACTTTTGATAGGGGGGACCTACAACTTAGTAGATAGAGCACCTGAATTGATCTGAAAAGTAATCATATTATTTTAAATTTTAGAATACATACATTTATGTGGATAGGGGGTTAAGTTTCTTATATGTGAACGAGAGGCCCAGTGCACGAATTCGTGCACAGGTGGGGTCCCTCCCCCTGGCTAGCCCCGATAGGCCCCAATTGGGGCCAGCAGGCTGTGGGGAGGGACTGCGGGAGGTTGGTGACCAGCTGAAGGGAGGGACTGTGGGAGGTTGACTATGGGAGTGCACTGACCACCAGGGGGCAGCTCCTTCATTGAGCATCTTCCCCCTGGTGGTCAGTGTGTGTCATAGCAAGCGGTCAACTGGTCATTTGGCCGTTCGGTCGCTTAGACTTTTATATAGAGAGAATATATAGATTAGTCAGCTCAGATAGCCATAGCAAAATATCATAAATTTGTGTGGCTTAAACAACAGAAATGTATTTTTCTCACAGTTCTGGAGGCTGGAATTTGGGGTCAGGGTACCAGCATAGCATCATCCCATACACCAGAATGTGGTGGATTGATTATCAGTCAGGGCACATGCCCAGGTTGCAGATTCAATACCTAGTCCAGTGAGTGCGGGAAACAATGTTTCTCTCTCACATCAATGTTTCTCTCTCCCTTCTATGAGACAAATTAAAATGAATGATAAATAAATAATGTTCTATAAGTATGGTTTTAACAGGAAAGACATTAGTGATCTATGAAGTGAAAAACTCGTTATAACACGTATATACATCATGACCCCATTTAAAAAATATTTATTGATTTCAGAGAAGGGGAGAGGGAGAGATAGATAGAAACATCAATGATAAGAAAGAATTACTGACCAACTGCCTCCTGCACCCCCCCTACTGAGGAACAAGCCTGAAACCTGACCAGGAATCAAATCATGACCTCCTGATTCATAGATCGATGCTCAACCACTGAGCCCCACTAGGTGGACCCCATTTTTATCAATACCAGGCACATGAGGTACATTGGCAAGATCTCACTCCTAGACGAGAGTGCCAGAGGTCAGAGGCAGTGCCCAGTGACCTGTTTTGTGGGAGCTGGAAGGCACTTGCGGGGGCAGCAGTTTCCCGATCCCCGGGTCTCAGCTGTGCCAGAGTGTCCTAGAATTCAGTTGTGGCTGAGGGGCAGCTCCTCCCACTGGGCAGGGAGTCTCCCCTGGAAGCCCAGCCTAATACCCACTCCTCCAGCTTTCTGATGATTTCCCAAGTACCAATTCCCTGTGCTAAATTCTTTCCTGCCTAAAATAGCAAAGATCTGAAAACAATGCTGCACAGGGTCAGGTCTGAGAAGTGGGTGAGGTGTTGCGGAAGGCTCCCTTCTTTGAGTCTCAGCTTCCTCTTCTGTAGAACCAAGACCACAGATTATCTGTTCATAGTTACTGAAGACTGGCAGCTGTGTTTCCCGAAGATGGCCACAACATTTCCCATCCCTCCTGTGGCCTTGCCACTTTCTGCCACGTCCTCTCTCTCGAAGCGGGGCTGACCTCTGACGCCCTGGTAGCCAGTACACTGGTCACCCACAGAATTCCAAGGCCAAGGCTGAAAAGATGCAGGTCTGCAGCCCTGCCCACTCCACCAGGGTTTCCAGCCCTGCCCATGCCGCTCGGGGCTCCGGCTGGCACAGGGCCTCGCCCTCCCTGCTTGCTTTCCCTCCATCGGCTGAGCCACCCCAGCGCCTTGCTGCACACCATGGCCCACCTGCTGGTGCTGCTGGGCCCAGCAGGCAGGGTAAGCACCCGGGTTGGGTCTTGTGCCTTCTGGCTCCTGGGCGCCACCCCCTGTGCCCTGCTGTGGCTGCTCTGACCGAGGCCAGACACCCAGCTGCTGTGCGCGGCCTTCGGGGACTGTGGCGGCCACCAGGCAAGCCTCCCCGCCCCATCCCCAACTCGGGCATCCTGATCCCGGGTCCACTTGCGCCAAAGGAGAGCTTTTCCCATGCAACTGCCTGAGACCGAGCACCTCCAAGGTCCCCAGACCCCAAATTTCTGCCATCCAAGGCGGTTGGCCAGCTGGCCCTGCCCCCAATCGGGGTGTTGGGGGCTGGTTGGGGCCTGGGCTGGCCGGGGGTGGGTTTGGGGGGGGGTGGAGGGCTATGGGGACCTGGAACAGGCTAGTTGGCTGCCTCAGTACGTGTTATAGCCACCGGTCATTCTGGTCATTCCACTGTAATGGTCGCTGGGCTTTTATATGTAGACTAGAGGCCCGGTGCACAAATTTGTGCAAGGGTGGGGTCCCTCAGGTGGCCTGCGGGAATCAGGCCTCAGCTCGTGCCCCCAGCCTCACAGCCCTGCAGCCCCACCTGGCACCCTGCCTTGGCCTGGTGCTGCCCCCTCACCTGCTCCACCATCCCACCTGTGGGGTGATCGGCAGAGCGATTGGGCCCCTGCTCGCACTGCCTTGGCCTGTTTCCACCCGCTCAACTGCTCCACCATCCTGCTGCAGTCCTGCTCTCATAGGGGCCCCATTGGGGCCGGCAGCACCTCTACTGCCACCCGCTGCCAGCGCTGGCACCCGCCATGTTCTGCGCCGCCCCCTGGTGGTCAGCGCATGTCATAGAGAGCGGTCGAACTCCCAGTCTCCCAGTCGAACTCTGTCTGAAGGGACAATTTGCATATTAGGCTTATTATATAGGATAGGAGGTTAAGTTTTTCTTAAAGTTTCCTTTTCAAGGCCTGTGCAAAGCAATTGAGGAGGTGACTCAGCTGTGAATCCAGAAAGCAGAACCAATAAGCATGGTCAGGCCGACCCATCAGGAGTCAAAACATCATCTCATCAATATCATCTCATCGCCTGATGACTAATTTCAATAGCTGACCTCTGTGGACCCTCAGGCCTGCATGTAGCTGCATTCCTCACCTCAGCCCCTTCCCCTTTATAATCCTGTCCCTTGAATCTTGCTGAAAGGCAGGATCTGATGCTTGTAAGTGCCCTGTCTTCTTGGTTGGCTAGCCTTATCAATAAACACCTAATATGATTCAACCCTGCCTTCGTTATTGGACACAGCGACAGGCAGCCTGAGCCCAACCTGTAGTTTCCCGGTAACATAATAAAGATTAAACAAGAAGTACGTAGTTTTTAAAGTGAGTTTTGGTTTCAGTTCTGTTGGTAGGGAAAAAATAGAGTTTTCTTGGAAGCAAATCTTAATCTCCAGAGAGGAAATATTTTGAATATAAGCCAGTGGATAATAGGGGAGGAAGGAAAAGTAAAAACATACAAAACACCAGTTTGTTTCTATCAGAGCTTCCCTAGAAATAATATGGGGCATTATGAAGCAGAAAGGACTCAATGAATTTGGTACTTGCCAGAAACCCAAAGTCTTTATGTCATCTGCTAGATCCTGGTTTCTCAGGTGCCTAATCCCTTTTAAAAATATATTGTACTGCTAATTCTTCCCTTTTGCCCTCCTCTTCAATCACCTCCTCCTCCTTGATCTTGGAAAATTCATAACACACTGTTAAAACAACCCTATGCAGAGAAAAGATTTTGGAGAGAATCACTCCCCAAACTACAAGAGTGCTAGTCTTTTTTTTAAATCCTCACTCGAGGAGTGTGGATATTTTTTCCATTGAGTCTAGAGAGAGTGGAGGGAGTGGGGAGGGGAAGGAATGGGGTGGGGGGAGGGAGAGAGAAAAACACATCAGATTGGTTGCCTCCCACACGTACCCCCACCAGGAATGGGGATCAGACCTACAACCCAGGTACATGCCCTTGACCGGGAATTGAGCCCGTGACCCTCTGGTGCACAGGCTGATGCTTCTAACCATTGAGCCATGCCAGCCAGGGCTCTAATCTGTTTTGAAGTGTTAGCTGAAAAAAGCAGTGTTGCCTTTTCTCCATTCTGCCTCTGTTCCCTAGAGGGTAGCCCTTAACTCAGCTAGAGGGCGAGCTCTCAAAGGTCTGATTCTGTGCTGCCGTGGGACTGAAATTTGAGTGAGGCCCAGGCCAGTGAAAGCCTGGCAGCCCCAAGTGGCGGCCAGGAACCATCAGCCTTGGCATCTCCGGGGAGATCTTAGGAAATCAGTCTCAGGCCTCACTCCAGACCCATTAAATTTGCATTTGAATAAGATCCCCAAGGGATATGCCTGCACTTTAAAGTTTGGTCACAAAAAGATAGAAACAGGTAATTCCAGTACAAAACGGCAAAGGAAGTGAATCTGTATTATCCCTCCCACGGGTACTGAGCAGCCTGAGCTGTTCAGTTAGCTCTCCAGCTCTGTTATCACTGCTTGCTGAACTGATCCTTCCTACCTCTGAATAGGCTACCAAGGGCAGGTTTTAAAGACGAGATTTGGTGCAGTTAAAAGCACCTTGAAATCAATCACTTGGAAATTTAGTCCTGCTCATGTACACATAGCTGCCTACCTGTGACGAGGCATCACTGTTACAAGAGGAAAAGATTTCTAGTCGCACCTCATGTGGAAACTGGTGCTTACAGTTTTTTCAACAACAGACTTGGCTTTGCACAGAAAACAGCGAGAACCTGGAAATAAAGCAGCCAGGCATTGAAGTGGGGCCCGTTGGCACCTTTCAGTAACCTTATGCTAAGAGGTGTGAAGATCTGATGGCTGGATTTCAGAAACAGTGTTAGTAATGAAGGCTTGAACTGGAGACAAAAAACGTCTGTGGGCGTACTGAGAGTCTTACTTTCAAATTTTATTTATAAATGAGAGATACATAAACACGTGTACTTTAACCTAAAGTGATCAACATGTTCCATTCTGCACCAAATGTTTAATCCCTGGTCCTCTCTCTCTAGGGTGAGGTAGCCAAGGGACACAACAGTATAGCATTAGTCCTTTCATTCTTCTTTGGCTTCTAAAAGGGAAACTCTGGTGTGACCTCAACTTTCACACCAAACATAAGTGATAAAAAAAGATAAATGCTAGGTGTACATAAAGAAACGTAAATATAGGTTAATCAGGTCATTTCATGCCATAAAAGCCACTAACGCTGCTGGTATTTGCATGGCTCTGCATTTACTTTTAAGAGCCTCATTCATACATAGCCAGAAACACACGGGTCTCTGAGCGTTTGCTTGAAAAGTAATTATACAGCAGGAAGAAATTAATAATGTTTAATTACGTTGATGCAAAGTTCATCGGCATTTCAGAATATTGTTGCAAGGTGTCAGATAGTTTTTGAGCCTCTAAATTTGCTGATGTGGACTTGTTATTGTCCCCAGTCAACACGATGCAAAGTCGCTCTCTGTCCTTCAGCTAAAAGTAGGAAAAGTCTGTCACTCTATGAGAGGCCTCTGGTCCCTCTGGAGAGAAAAACTAACCTCTGTAAAAAGAAAGCCCAACCCAACCTGAGTCCATCGTCCACGGAGTCCAGTTGGCTGCAGGAAAGGACCATCCCCCTCCAAACCATGTACAGGAACAGGAAAGGGGTCCAGGGGTCCGACTCCCAGCCAGGTGTTCCAGCGGCAAGGTAGCCAGGTGTTCCCAGCGACAGGGTAGCCAGATGTTTCTAGGGCTTACAGCTGGACAGTGGCGGCGAGTCCCCCGTCAAGGCTGGCGGGCGCCGCCTACAGGTCGGAGTCGCAGGGCAGGGAGCTTTGGCAGGGCCGGGTGCTGCGCGAGGAGGCGCCCTGGGAGCCGGCCCCCGCCTCCCCGTCGAGCACGTCCACTGGGTTGGTGTAGGTCTTGGGCGGCGGCCGCGGCATGGGGAAGCCCACCTTGGGCCTGGCAGCGGCGGGGCCGGCCTCGGCGGGCCGCGGCCGGTGCTGGCCGTCGCTGTAGTACTTGATGGCGGGCGTGAGCGCGGGCGGGGGCCAGTCGACGTACACGGTGCTGATGCTGGGATGGCGCGGGCTGGTGCGGGCCGCCTTGCGGCGTCGGCGACAGCACTCCTCGCACCAGGTCGCGAAGCTGAGCGCCAGCGAGAGGTCGCCCAGCAGCAGCAGTGAGCTGCCCAGGTAGTCCAGC